CAGCCTAGGTGGAGTAGTCGAACACAGATCCACTGATCCTTCAACACAGAGCATCTTCAGAAGACAAGTTGATGAATAAATTTTTTAAATCTGTATTGTTCCATACATAGTGTGTATTGAACAATACAGAGACATGTATTGTTGCACCCCTAATATATATGTATGTGTATATATGTATAAAATACATATATATAAGTAGTTATGTAGGTGTTATATTTAATGCCATTTATAAAGCTGAATCATGTAAAATAAAATGCAGTATGCACTTGAACTCTCATGGCTCGTTCTGCCATAATAAGAGTGCATTTAACAACAATAGGCTTAACTACACAAACTGCATGCAGGATATATGTGAGAAAAAAACACCTATTTAAAGACAAAACAATTCTATACAAAGTAGCATGATCATCAATTAACACCTAAGAGGAAAAAAAATCACAAATTAAAYGAAAGAAAAAACCCTGTAAACTTGCATGCATTGATGTTTCTCTGTTGTTTGATCTGTTTACATATTATCAATACAAAACGTGACATTGATTCTACCGTAGACGTAGTGGCTGCCATGTTCTGGCGGCGCGGTGGCTTTTCAAGCTACAACGAACCCCAGAGTGGTGTTCAGTGGTTTGTGTTTGTGTCGTCCACGTGCTGTGTGACTGTTCTTAGTGTAGACTGAGGCTCTAGTTTTACTCACCCACAGGTTGTGTAGAGGAAAACCGTGACATTTTACCCTTCCTTTTGCTAAACCTTTAAACGTTTGTTAAAGGTGAATTTTGTAGAGCAAACACAAGACCTTGTTTTCACTTCACTAGCTGCACACTTTGTAATGAAAATGGTGTTGAATCAAAGGAAACTCTGGCCCAGTTCCCCAATGATCTCCACACATTTCCTCGACACACTTTTGTAGTGAAGAAGACGACTTTAAAACTCTGTGTTTAGATACACTTTTTTTCACCTCGACCCTTGAAAACTACTTTTTAACAACTGTTTGGGGACAATCTTTCTGTGAGGACGGTGGCCCAGCCGTCCGCTCAGTACTGTACAAGTGTGTCGCTCTTGTATTGTGGTTTTATTGTCCCATGCCCCTGTGTTTGTGTGTGTGCGTGTGTGTGTGCTCATTGTTATCAGTGTTAAGGCGTCTGTGCACTGTTAAAACACCCTGATGGGATGAAAACTCAAAGCTTATTTTCTTATAGCTCGTTTGTGTCAACTACTTACTCATCACTGGCTGTTTAATATGTTTTTATTAATGATATATATATATATATATACATATATATATATATATATAAATTATGCACTACTTTTCTATCCCCCTCCCTGCTCAAGGTTCCTTCTTATTTGACCGATCTCCATTCAGAAGTGGGCTCCACCTGTTTATTGTATAGATGATTTAATAGATTTTATTTTTTAAGGATGACTTATTTAAGCATGGCGCGGTGGTCTTTGCTTACCTCTGTTTGGTGTAATTAGAGCAGGAACCCACAATTTTTTAATATAACTTAAAGAAATCTGGATGTTACGACAACCTGAAGCCCCCCTTCCACACACACACACACACACACACACACACACCTTGTCGGCATCTGATGCTGTGTGATTATTGTCACCTGTAACACTTGACTCGTGCTGTTTCTCGTGAAGTTTTGTTTTCTACGTAGAGCACTGTTACTTTGTTCTGTCCTGGTTTTGGGTTTTGTTTTTGTAAAAGCATATTTATTTCACTATTTTTGTAGACAAAAAAAATATATGATTTTGATTGTATTTTTCTATTTAAATAGGACTAATAATCAAGTGGACCCCCCTCCCCCTACCTCTCACGCCACCCCTACCCCCCACCTCAGAAATGTCCAAATGTTGGTTTTGAAAACCTCGTCATTAGTGGAATGGTGGGAAGTTTTTGATAAACAGTTTGTTTCTTATTTTGAAGAAATAAAACATGAAGGTTTTATTTTATTCTGTGAAGACACTTGACATCCAATGACCCCCCACCCCCACCCCCACCCACACACACACCGCGGGTTGCAGTGAGGCCCCCAGCTGCCTGTCCTTGTAGATGCTCTGAAACTTGAATATAACACATTTTGAAAGGCTGACTAACCTCGAATCTGTGTTG